CCAGGTGTCCAGGATGGCAAAACTGCAGAGCAGATCGTCCCGCAGCGGGGCATTCAGCATGCGGGTTGCCGGCGGCATTACCCACGGCCAAGTCGCCAGGCACTGGGCATGAGTTGCCGCACGATTTGGCGCTGGTTGACACGCGACAGAAGCGGATAGACGCCTGAGAACAAGCTAGGTCGCGGCAGGAAGACTTCCGCCAGCCGGGTATAAGCGCAGATCGTCATTGCGAAGTGCGGAGATAAAGACGGGCTTATCCACAAGGAAACTGGCAAGGAAGCTGTTGCCTGGACTTCTGCTGAACATGTCCAGAGTCATCTTTCAACGGGTCGGCGCCCCGACTCATCGAGCTAGAACGACGCAGGACTGGTCCAGATCGAACTTCCCAGCATTCTGGGAGAAGGACAAATGACCGGGAAATAGTCCTAACCTGTCGCCGAGAGAAAATTTTAGGGCGATCGTCCGGTAAGAGGTGAACAAAATGGCACCAGCATAATCTGAAGACACACTGACCAGGAACGTTCGATCTGTCTGGTCCAAGATCAGTCCCCAGAAGCTGGGCATGCTGATGTCTAGTGATGACTGATGTCCCGGACCGTATGTTTGCCCGTATCAGGGAGAAGGTGTGATACATATGTAAGAAAAGCGCACTTCTCATGTTTGCTATTTTCATGCAATTGACGCTGGAAGGGTGTGACATTATTTTTGGGACACCCTGTATAATGGAAACGCGACAATGGCACGCAATATGATAAAACACAGATCTACATCTTTGAAAGAAGCGAAGGTGTAAAACATATTGCTATCGACAGGAAAAATGCTGCCTATATGAATCGCCGACTACCAAGCGTTTCAAACAACATAACATGACCACTGGCCGGTGACCATTTTATAGGTACTGGTCATTTGTCGATGCCTGCATTGCAACCATTGTATTACCTAAATAATGAGTACGGAGTAATCAACTCTTCTTTGAGCAAATATCAATGTAAAGCATGACTTTATATAACTTAACATTGCATACCGGAATAATTAGTACGGGTGGTTAAGTTCATAGCGAAATGCATAACATAAAAAACGTCTAATGTAGGTACTGTCATCGACACATAACAGGATATACGAGTAGACAGCTTATCTATATAAGTCTGCTTTGATCTCATGGCCACTGTAGCAGCTAATCAGAATTAGATGTGTCTTGTTCCTCACAACTAGGTATATGACAAATTCAACAAACGATAAACTTTTATATAATCCGTATGGTCCCATTCGTCCAACGACAGTGGCAATGACTGGCACAGGTGATGCCGGAAGCGCGGGCGGTGACTTTGTCGGCCCGCTGACACTGAAACTGAGACGGGTTTCGGACCGACCGGGGGGCAGAGGCGGCCTTATCTCAGTCTCAAGGCCGAAAGAGAGAGCCGCGCGCGAGCCTTGACTGCTGCGGCCAGCACGGGGCTCCGATCGGCAGCCAGGCTGGCGCCCAGAGCCGCACGCCGTGGCTGCCGGGGCCAGCATGGGACTCCCGGGTCGGCAGCCAGGCCGGCGCCCTGATGACGTCAGGTGGTTAACGGGGGATCCAACATACCGGCCCTCTGGCGACGTCACAGGGCAGGTAGGGTCAGGGTGACGTATGCAGCGACAGGGCGGATTTAAAGTGATGTCATCTTGTCATGGGACAGAGAGCTCATTAGCCGTCGGTTAATGAACATTATCCGGCAAATCGGTTTGGTGGAACTTCAGTCAAAGTGCCGCGCTGTATATAGGTACCTATGCGTGGACAATGGGATGGGAGGTTAAACACCACACTGCACAGTGGGGATTTTTCCGATCTAGCACGTATTTATTCGTAGAGGGCAAACCATAGGTAGAATTGTAGCCAGATTGTGCACAGATGTTGGCTGGTGTGTCCTGGTGAGAATTTTACCTGTAAATGTGCATAATCAACATAGTACAGGGGGTTCAATTGGACCCCCCGCTCAGCCGTTTGGCCCCTGATCAAGCTAGAGCTTCGCGGAAAAGTCAAACGTGCTGCCTATGACGAAATGAGGCCGAATATATCCAATTTCAAAGTCCAAAGTCATAAGCTGACTTTCCAAGTTAGTTTAATGACCCAACTAAAGTTGGGAAATCGAGACCTCTTGAAACTTCGCAAAGTTAGGGTGTTACGGGGTATTTTGGGGTGCTGATCACGAATTTCATGTTAGTTTTGATCACAGACGATGTCTGTATGCATTTAGGCCAGGTCGGGTCAGGTCAGGTTAGATCAACTAGTAGGCGTCCTGCCGGCCATTCATAGAAGTGTCACCTACTACTGATAGCTTCGTAACATGGAACGAAGGCACCAGAACTACTTCGTAAATATTCAAATGGCTGCTAAAATCGAAATCAGCACCAAAAAGTACCCTAGAAACAAGTAAAACTCGAAAAAGTGGACCAAGGTCATCAAAAGGTCAATGACCTTGACTTGACCTTCACGTGACCTTGACACCCACCATTATGCATAGCACCAACATCATTTCACATATTTGAACGTTTAAAACCACAAAAAAGACTGGAAACCGCGGATAATGTGAGCTGGCATACGCCGAATCGCGATTCCGGCCAAACATAGTCTCGAGAAATATGCCACAGGTCAAAGGTCAGTTGGGTCAGAGTCATGAAATTTTTAGGTTAGATGTAAAATTGATGATCTCGAGGGCACCGAAAGTTTCGGCGCGATCGGCCGCTTTTTGCGCGAGTAATTTGCGGAAAACCATGGGGTTTTATCCGACCCCTTCCCCCTCCCCCTCCCCACAAGTGCGATGGTTAATAAGGTTACGGTATGTATAATTTACGCTTGTCATCCTATTCCTAATGAATGTGTCTCAGAAAATATGCATCATATAAATCACGAAGTAAAATTATTCGCCTATGTCCGGAACATGCTGTTTGCCCTAGCGCTCCTCGAGTGGGGTGTTAAGATACTCTAATGTGAATATTCCGTGTTCAGGCAAGTTTCGGCAGCCAAACTAGGCGTTGTCTTGTGCAGGAGAAAGTGGCGAATTCGATATGATATATTTCGGAGTGGAAAAGTGTGGAGAACATTGTTGATTTCCTACATTTATTTAGAATACCATTCCTTCAATATGGTGTCTGTAAGGGTTTTTTGTAAAGGGCATTTTTGTGACCTTAGTAAGGTTGTGGCATACTTTCTGTTTGCCATTCCATTCCTAATAAAGGTGCCTTTCAGATGATATGCAACTTTAAGACCTCGCAAGATTAAAACCAACAAGACAGGACAATGAAATTGAGCTATACTTTCGGGCCTTGCTGAGCCCATTGAGTAATCACGCATGAGTGTGAACTTTGGGCGCATTTTTCCTAGTTTTGCTGTGGACATACAGATAAAACAATGCCATATATGAAAAATTCAGACATTTCTTAGCCCTACTGACACAAAAAATAAACAAAAATCCAAAAAAGATTTTTTGAATTAATAGGCGCTAGATCGGAAAAATCCCCACTGTGCACTGGCTTAAATGTCAACTTAGATACACATCCTGCTATACTTCGGCTTCAATTCAAATTTACCGTGTTCAAACAATACCTTTCAAATGTTTTTCTGCGTTTTAAACGTACCGTCCGAAAAGTCGTGCTTATTTTTAAATGCTAACTGGTTTCGTCAGTGATTGGGCACGACTTAAAGTCAGAAACGTGCCGTTTTGAAACTCATTGAAGCGTTGTTAACGACTTTGGATAATCGTTACAGGTCTCTTGGAAAGCGATGACAAAGCCAATCATCAATCCATTACTTGTTAGTGTTCCACCGGTTCGAACACCCAGAGTTAGCTTCGTTTCGTTTGGACCTAGTGCACCCGGTCTGAGTGGCTGGAGACTGGAGAGGGCGGCGTCCCGTTCTTGCCCATTGCCTGTTACCTAAGCTGTTCCTGCGCATAATTTACACGGGCCTTGGGACGGACACTTTCTCTCGGCAGCTCCTTCGGTACGCCCGTCAGCCAGCGGCGGAGAGAACCCGACTTGATCCGGGGCATCGTAACTCTATGGCTTATCTGTTCGACTCCCAGCGAATTAGGTGGTCAACAGGTAGGATTTGGTCACGGCTTACCTGGCTATTCCACAGCCAAACGGACCGAATCTCAGCTCGCTGGCTTTTCTCTTTTCTCATAATTTCCTATGTGGGTGGGAAGTGGCATCGCTCGCCTGCGGCAAGGTCACTATTCACTTCACTCAGCCACAGATGACTCGGTTTGCTAACAGCCCGGAGCCTCGCCCTGTCTGGCTTGCCTAATACCTACACCCGGTTCCCTTTCGACTCGCGTGGTTGGCCCACATCTCAAGGAGCCAGTTCTAACCATCTTAGTGCATTCCTTCACAGTTCACACTACCGGGTCGGGTAATACCCGATCACAGCTCAGCACGATAAGTCCATCATTCGGCGAGCTGACGTTAATGCCAACCAGATTAACCACTAACTCACCTGCTTGGCTCGCTCACTGCACGAATGAGCTTACATCTCAGCTGGTTCAACGCTCGCCAGGCTAGCCCACAGCTCACTTGGTTGGCTTTCGGCTCATCTACCTGGCTCAGTCATGGCTCACTTATCTGGCTTACAGCTCACCTGCACTAGCGGCGGAACACCTTCAATTAAGGGGGGGGGGGGGGCACTGCCGACTTTTGGTCCCATTCTTTCCATACAACGCCCATAGGGCTAATGTTAGAATGCCAAAATCAAAGGGGGACACGGTGCCTCGGTGCCCTCCCCGTTCTGCCGCCTATGCTCACCTGGTTGACTAACAACTCCTTTGGCTGGCTAACAGCTTCCTTAGACTAAGCCCTGGCTCACAGTTCACTCGTTTGGATTTCAGCTCACCAGGCTGGCTTGCATAGCTCACCTGGTTGTCCCAAGGCTTATCTGGTTGGCTCACAGCTCACTCGACTGACTCACAGACCACAGTTCACCCGGTTGACACTGGATAGTTGTTTCACAGTCGTGCACTCACCATCAGAGCGAAGAGTGGCCGATGAAGCTCCATATCCTGTGCAGGCGAGAGACGGGGAGAGCGAGCGAGTGCGCGCGCGTCTGCAGAGCGAACCGTGCGGCGTGCGGCGGCACTGAACGCGCTCTGGTGCGGCTCTGTGTCGAGGCCGGTCCCACCGGGCGGCCGCCGCTCACTGCTCGGCACCGGGCCCTGAGCCGCCCGGCCCGTCCCCGCCGCCGCCCGAGCCGCCCACCGCGGCCTCGTGAGAGCCGGATCACCCTCCGCCGGCCCGTGAACGCGCCGCCAGAACCGGCCGCCGGCAAACGCCCCGCCACACAGCCGAGAGCCTTTTCATTTGTCGAAATTATCGGCACTGGAGTGCGCTCGTATGCTACGACCATTCCGACCAGGCTCGGTTTGGCTTCTCGCTGAATGGCAAACAGGATTATTGACATCACAGTGGCATTCAAGTCGATGATGAGCATGATATGAGATACAGGGCGCTTCCAGAAATTCATATAGAAGTTGGGCTCGAAAAACGTCAGCTCCTCCGGGCCCTAATCAGGATGACTGAATGCCGACAATATTCTCTTATGATCAGCAGCGCCGGAATGCCCTGGCAGCGCTTCGTCATTTTCAATATGCGGCCGGAATGTGTGCCCGCTGCCGCATTTGGACAGTGTAATAAGGCAACTTCTATGAACGCGTTGGCCAATGACGCCCGGTATGAGCCTAACGAAATATGCCGACGGAACCGGATGTCATGAAACTAAAGGTAATAGGAGACGCATTGTGAGCCTCAGCTCTCGTCTTCCTTATTACGTAGAAAATCGGTTTTAAAGCCGCTATCACGGTGAAACGGATTGGTTCTACGGTAGTTTATGTAACGACTATGTATTCATGCTTTTCAAGACAATTGCCGGCTACAGCCAGTAAGCTGAGCATCCTAACTCTCGAAGGTCGACGGCACTGCCTGACACCTTATGTAGGCATAATGATGAATAACGATTCAATCCACCAGCTATGGCCTCCAGGTAACCTCAGAGGGACGTTGCACCGCGTCGGGGCGAAAGTGCGGAGGACGATCGTCACTTTCTCTGTGTACAGAACATCCACAACATTGCGGTTGGATTATACGGCGACAGAGCTTGCATCATGTTCGGCTGTTGGTCGAAACCGGCTTCTCTGCCCATGCAAGGCGTGTCGCACCGCACTGAGTCGCAGTGGGACCTTCCCGCCGATGGAAAACGAGGTGTTTCGGCCGATCCAGGAAGTTTATTGGAACTATCACGCTTAAGAACTTCGTGTCTATGCATTGCTAATGGTCACTAAACTTCGATACAAATGATTTGATGCCGCAGTTTTATAAGACCTGTTCGAGTCCCCGGTATCGGACGGTGTCGGTGACGTTTTGTGACTGGCGTTGTCGGGTGAGGCGTTATTTAGGCTGTAGTGTTCGACTGCCGGTCTGTGAGTGCCCGACTGCTGGTCAGCCGCAGACACACAGTCGCCGCTGTCGGGTGAGGTGTCGGTCTGCAGTATCCCGCTGTGCTGTCGGACCGGCCAGTGTCGCGCCACTGCTGGGTCGCCGGTATCGGGTGAGGTGCGGTGTTGGACTCGGCAGGTCGGCCACTGACACACAGTCGCAGTCTCCGGCTACTGGCCCGGCGCCGTGCACGACACAGCACGGTAGCACCAGATAACGACTCCATCACAGCAACACGCGGGCACCACTAACTCAGATCAGGGGTCAGTCAGTAATACGATTTTAGTGTGTGTGTTGTACCCTCAGGGTGAATTATTCCAGATGCGTAATTCGATGCATAATTCGATGTATGTTCGCAGTGTGTCCCGCAGAGTCAGTGGATAGAAACGTTGGCGGGGCCCGTCTACGAATGCTGTCTCCAATCTATATCAAAGGCAAGCTTATTTTCCTCATACTTTGTATTCTATCTCCCTTCTCCAATCACATATCTACTATGTTGTACATGCAGGGAACACATCTCAAGACAAAAATACGCATCCGAAACAAACACGAACATCATTACGGTTCCGCACGTCTCTACCACGAGCAGAGAATAGACGCGCTGCCTTATAAACTGATGTGAAGACATCACACCGGACTGCGCAGGAGCGGACAAATGCATGCACACAGCACTGACTGCCGTGTTCGCCGGCCCGGCCGCAGTGAACAAACCGTCCAAGGCTCAGGACCACGACCCACGGTCACCGTCGGCGGCAGGCGGCAGCCGCCCTCATATCGCCTTGCCATTCCCATTTGTGGTTCCACTGACACCCGGGTGCTCCGGACTGTGCTTCTGTTTCTTCTTCTTTTTCTCTTTCTTCTTCTTTTTCCGCTCCTTTTCGTCCTCGTTGCGTTTCTTTTTGTGTTTCTTTTCGGGCGGTTCTCCGGCGTCGGTGCCCTCCTGGGACGATGTGTCGCCAGCTCGGTGTTTGTGCTTCTTGTGCTTGTGTTTGCGCTTCATCGGCGCCTGGCTGGTGAACCGGTACTGCTCGGGCAGCTGCGGCAGAGAACGGGGAGGGCGTGTCACCGGGGAACGGTGGCCACTGCGGCCGGAAAGGACTGCGGGCAGTGACTGTCAAGTGTCAGCACAGCACGCTCGACAGAGCAGCTGCTGTGGCCGCGGTGCTCCTCAGACTGGAAAATGGACGGCCGCGCCTGGGCGCACCAGCTGTCCGCTCGATGTGTGCCACCTCTGCCCCGCACATTATGTGACCCTCCAGTTCCCGGTTACTGAGATGAACCCGATACTGAACGAGTGAGCGGGCATCTGTGTCTGATTCTGGTCGATGTAAAGAACTGTACCTACTCTAGCCCTTATGATTTTGTTTGTTTATTTAGGCTTTGGGATGCGCCGACTGCTATGCTAGCCACTTGCGATTTTGTATACGCATTTTATATTTACGCGCGTGAATATGGGTCGGGGGCCACTCATAGGACTGATGTAAGTGGAACGATCACAAGGCCATACCTTGTCCAGCCCCGTTTCGTCAATGAGCATAATAATATGTAGTATATAATCAGTAAAACGTCTTTTGGGCGAAGAACGAGCGAGCGAGATAGTGAGCCCTGCACGTGCGGAAGGGCGAGAGGGTACTTACAACGGGCTTGTGCAAAGCACCCTTCTAACCAGTCACTAGCGGTGTGCCAAATTTGAACGCAATCGACCCAGCCGTTCCTGAGATCTGGAAGCGGCATTCCGCACGTGCACACGTGCAAACGGGGTCCAAACTGACTTTTGCACGGCACCCTACCAACCGGTCACCAACCGTGTACCAAATTTGAGCGCAATCGGCCCAGCCGTTCTCGAGATCTGGAAGCGCCCCCTGCACGAGCGCACGTGCAGTAGCACCTTAACCCCAACACATGGGAAGGCATCGCCTGATGGGAGCCTACCTGTATGCATAGGCGGCGGAACGGGGAGGGCACCGGGGCACCGTGTCCCCTTTGATTTTGGCATTTTAACATTAGCCCTATGGGCGTTGCATGGAAAGAATGGGACCAAAAGTCGGCAGTGCCCCCCCCCCCCCCATTAATTGAAGGTGTTTCGCCGCTACTGCCTGTATGCCAAGTTTCAGCGAAATCGCCCCAGTAATTACCGAGTTATTGAAATGGGAACATAGTTGGCACCTCTTCTTTTTACATTTTGCACGTGCAGTGGGAGTCACTCACATAGATCAAGAGTATCCGACCTTTGGTAGAAGAGATGCAGCTATCCTACAAAAATTACCGCAAGACAACCGCCCAAGCGGCTGCTGAGATATGAGCCTCTCAAAATCACTACTTTTGCAAAACAGCTTGAACACCCTTGACTTTTCACGTGGCACGTGCCACGACGGTCACTGAGATGCATCAAAAGTAGTCAATTACGGGGTAGAAGGGATGGGGCTACCCAGCAAAAAAGACCGCAGGCCAATCGGTCCAGCGGTTGCTGAGATATAAGCCTCTCTAAAGCGCTACAGGCCGGGCCGGGCCGGTCCGCCCATACCCTGGCCCATACTGAGATTTTTCCGTTATATATTGAAAAGACTTCGCTTCGCTCGCTGCACTCGCTCGTAATCAACTAATGGAAACGAAGGAAAGAAAGAATGAATATAGCCAGCAATGGACATTAAAAAGCATTCTAATAACTAAGGTATAAGTCATACGTAATTTTCTTAGGTGGAACTTGGTAAAACATGAGCCTCGAACATTTCAAAGAAGTGGTAAGATAAAAATGTAAATAAAGCAAAAATGTTCCAGAAAAAGTGCCATGAAAATATATTCCTGCCCGGGGCCGGGATGATTCAATAAATGTCACCGGGGTTTTTAGCGAAAACTCCGAGGGCCGTTAGGCCCGAGGTGCTTTTCGCTAAAAAAGCGAGGTGACATTTATTGAATTCCCGGCCTTAGGGCTGGAAGGTGTTTCCCATACCTGCCAAAAAACCTCACAACTATAATTGATATTGACGTCAGCAGCCGTGTGGTTTAACCCTCGCCGGACCTATTGGTTTTCTACATACGCGCCGGCCGAGGGGGGGGGGGGCGGGTACGACCCCCCCCCCTCGCCGTTTCGCCCCTGGTGGAGCTAGCGCGTCGCGGAAAAAACGAGCGTGTGCGCCGTTACGAGACGCAGAGATTGGTACCCGATTTTAAGGTCCTAGGTCAACCGGTGACCTCTGAGGTCAGGTCAAGTGCCCCAGGGTACGGTTCAGTTTTTGGTGAATAACTTCGCAAAAAACGGCCGCAGAGCCGCGATTTTGGCAGCATCGTGTTCGCCTCGCTCAGGCGCGTCGAATGATATACTTTTTGTTCGGGTCAGGTCAACTTGGGGTGTTGACCTCAGGTCAAGGTCAGGTCAGCACCCCCAGGTCACGAAGTTGGTCGAAAGAGGTCATGTCGCATATCATTCGATTCGGCAGGTCTTCCTGAGTCCATTGGTGGCTTTCTCGACTCGCTAGCTCAATTTGATCGGGAGTTATTGACGAAAAACTAATATGACCTTGATGACGTCATAAATGACGTCACGGAAGGTCAACATTGCAAAAGTGACGCATCTAACCTTGCAAGGAGTGCATCAAATCACGATTCTGTGTGCTTGAGATAGTTGGAGATCGTTCCCGGCGCCAGAATAGCAGTTTTCATTTTTCCCCATTGACTTATAATGGTGAGGTCACGAAAATGACCTGACCTCATATGACCTTTAGGAAAAATCCGAGATATACAAGTTGTGAGACTCATAATGGATACTAGATCCTGCAAGTTTCATTTCCCTGTGACATCTCCTCTGGCAGTGAGGGCGTTGCGAAGTTGCGACATCTGAAGACCGTGCAGAGGTTCACTTATGACGTCATAGCTCAGTGACCTGACCTGACCCAAAAATGCGGTTGGTGTCAAAAGATGCGGCTTGGATCAAAGGTCAGGTATGCCAAGTTTCAGCTCTCTATCGCCAGCGTGTTCGGAGCTATCGCGAAAAAGCCCTATGGGGGGGGGGCGGCACCCGCCCCCCCCCCTCGGCCGGCGAGGGTTAACGCGTTTAACCACACCCCTTGAACCACACGGCTGGCAATATTAAAGCACTGCATTAAACTTTGAAAAGTGTGGTACAGTGCGCGTGCCATTAAAATGCCTGGATGTCTCGATTTAATCATGCAATGTAGCAGGTATGGGAAATATACGTTTCATACTACGCATTTCCGTTGAACATGTAAACAAAGGACAATTTCTGCACATTATGGGTGCTTTGGAGCGCAATAAGGCACTAATGTTATCGGAAACCACCAGCGCCATTGATGGTAAGCGATCAAGCGATACGGTCTTTCAATTGCTGCTCTTGGTTGACGGCGGCAGCAGCTTCCGCCGTTTAGCGCAATCGGCATCGATCAGAAAAGTGACCTAAGGTCAACGACAAGCTGTACATACAGCTACCCTACAATTTACAAAGACCAGAGGGCATTGAACACCCGAGGGCGGATCGCTGTGCTATTTATGCTGTAAATTTAGAATCGCAGCCGACCCGGCAGCTGCGCTTCTCCGTCCCTTTGAAAACACACAAATGAGAATGACTCCCTGGTTACCAAGCATTCTCAGCGCACAGCTTCAGTTTAACAGCCAGTAGGATACGCATAACTCTTGACCAACCAGCCGAACTTGAGAAAACGTCCTCTCCATACTAGTCCTTACGAATCCTGGCATCATTCGCAGACACCCTCCCCCACACGGGACGATGCTCGTGGATGACCGATCGGCTCTCTCACACCAGTGCCGGGACAGTGGGAGGGTAACTGGGGACCTGTCCTTGAGGCCCTGGCACAAGGTGTGCCATCGTCGACCCATCTGGGTCACTGGGCGGCCCGCGCGCCGGTCGAGCCGTGGGCAGGGGCCGATTAGCGCGGCGGCAGAGCCGTGGGCGGGTGGCGGACGGTGCGGTCCGCTAACCAGAGCCGACAGGAGCGCCGAGCGCCGGGCCGGGATGGCCACTCGGCCGGTCAACAGCGGGGCGCCCACTCAGCCTGTCGGCGCCCATTAGCGGCGCCCGACAGAGGAGCAGCCGGCGCCCGGCGACTGTGAGCGCAGGACGCACCCCTCTCCGCCCCTCCCCGGCCGAGCAGTGCGCACTGCGCAGCAGCCGAGAGACCTGACACGGCAGCTCAGCGACAACCGATGGCTCACATCTGATCCCAGATCGGCCAGCCATTCCCGTAAGAGCTTTGTGTCATATTTATAGAATTCGATTAGGTGGCATTGAAGGCCCCGGTTCGTCTAAATTCGCAGATGAAGCCATATGTCATTTAGCCATTCCGCGGTTTGACATTTAATTTACGCAAGCCGGAATCTATACACCATATAGTTCACGCCCGCCGGCCCAGTAACTGTCAGCGCGAGGTGCTCTCGGCAATATACTGTCGATGGGGCCTACGGCGGTGAGAAAACCACGGCGCCCGGCGGCCGGACGGGGTCACAGCGACCGGCCCAGCCGCCCTGATACCGAAAATAACAAACCAGTGCAGCTCGTCTGCCGTATGAGCGACACTGGCCAATTTGCATGTAACGAGCGCAGTCGGCTCTATGAGAAATGATCCAATTAACTGTCCAATGTGACGCCAGGCCCGTCTCACTCCGAACTCGGCACAACAGACCGCCCGCCGTCGGCCGGCCGAATTACGGTGACACATGGACCGCTGACTGCCGACTGATACACCCCATCACTGCCACTGATGTACGTACCGGCGTGACGCGACTAATACACCCGCTGACGTCATCCGACGTTATCCGCTGACGTCACTTGATGACCCGTTCAACGTCACCTGATGACCCAACCAACGTCTACCGAGGCTTCCTCCAGACTGAGGCATCCGACCCACTCACATCCAGGCATCCTCCTAGCAATCGTGGGAGGACACCGTCTCGTCTAGCGCCGACATGATGGTGACTCATTAAGTACCTTAGTATGTACTACACTTAGTAAGTAGGTGACACTTGCCGATTCTCTAATCTAACCTTGATATCTGCCGAATCCCTAATCTAGCCCTGACACCCGCCTACTCACTAATCTAACCCTAATACTGCTACGGAGACGCGTCGATCTAACCGTAGTAATACGTGGACGACTCAAGAAGCTTATAGTGACATTACAACGTCACCTCACCATTCTACGCCCGAACAACCTGACGACTCATCTATCTAACCGCAAACCTTGCGAGCTCACAAATCTTATCGTGAACACAGCGAGCTCACCAATCAAACCATGAACACTATGCCGGCACACTACTTCAACCGTGGAAGGTGCGCGAGTCGTGAGTCGTGACACGGCACGGCGAGTCGGTCATCTTACCGGTCCGGCGTGCAGGCGGAACCCGGTGAGCTGCAGACTGGTGAGCGGGAGCAGCTCCTTCCCCACCACGGGCGGCTTCTCGATCAGACTGCGCAGCGAGCTGACGACACACGAACAGACATTTGAGCGTTAGAGGAACACTGTATCATACTGATCGGTCATCAACGGAGAGTCACGGACACGCCAGCCAGCAGCCGCAGATTTCGGGTCACTGTGCTATAAGAGACATGTTCCATGCCAACACATTGACGTCGCCTCAGGTCTGAAAACCACGGCGGGCGGGCTGCCACAGACTCAAATCGCCGATGACACCACCGCCGAGCGAGGGTCGCGCAAAGATTCGGCGGATGATGAAATGTCAGTGGAGTGTCAGATGAAAGGCTTGCACAAATGAATGCAGTAAATGGTCAGCTTAGTTCGGAGCTTGGTAATTAAGTATGGTACAAGGGTGCTTAAAGGGCCTTGGAGCACAAAAAAAACATCTGTATTTTATGATCAATGTCAAATTCTTAAAAGCTACACGTAGCTTCTTGAATGATGGGCAGTAAATAAAAATTCATTTGAATGAAATAACTAACTAGATCAAGAAGACTTTTATCTTGTGGCTGTTGTGCCGAAGTTTTGTTTTCTCGTACGGCAGTCATGCTGATTGCATGACATATGGTTACAGACCACTGAGTATATGCTGGTGACACTCGTCAAATATGATAATAAAGGATAAAAAAGAAGTCTTTTATTCACACAATCCCTTCGTGAAAAAATTCACGCTTTAAATTCACACGGGCCATCATCTTGCGCATTTGACGAACTCCCTACAATAGCCTCAAGCGGAGTATCGAAAGTGACTGTGTGGAAAGCGTCTTACGTCAACTACTAGCCCACCCAGCGGCACAATAACTGTCCACATAATTTATCGATCAAACTCTCTGTACATCAGTGCAGTAAAGCCGCGTAACTGGTCTTTGTTCACTGAGGCTCGGTTCCAATCTCACCAAACAGCGACGACACCGACGGGCTGGGGGGAGGAGGGGGGGGGGGCTGTCCCCCTGCCCGAGCAATAACCGGCCGTCGGGGTAACTTAGAGGCCAACTTGGGCGGCCGACGGCGCGTGCGGTGCGTGCTCGATGTCAACACAGCGGGCACGGGGCGGCGTTTGACACCACGACCCGGCGCGCCGGATGGGACTCGGAAATGGATGGGTGCTGCCCCAGGCACGTCCACAGCTGCCCTACCGGCGCATAATGTTGGGAAATGTTGGCACCACACCTTTCTTAGGAAAATACCAATGCATGGCACTCTGAACTTCTGAAATTTTGGAGCTGACATTCACCTAGCCTGGCCAGATTGAATCTCGATAGATTATTTGATGCGTAGACAATGACATGATTCTTTTTCCACGGGTAAACACGCAACTTTCAGCTGTCGAAAACCAGTAAATGACCACGAATGAAATTATTTTCTTCATTAGTGTGAAAAGTAAGGGAAGAGCGATAAAACCAAATAAACACGGGCGCCACTTTCCAACATTTCAAAAGTGATGTGTAAAACATTTAAAGATTCAGTCATATTTAGCGATAGTTACCAGCTGATCAATGAGGGCAAAATGTCGGCAAAAACTTGTTAGAGGCCGCATAAGATCAGTCAAACACCGTCATCTATCCGAACAAATGCCTCTAGCACGTTAATCAGTCCGCATTCTTATATATAAAAGGAAAGCAGTCATTTCTTCCATCAGACTGGGACACCTTTCATTAGGCAATGGATTCATTCCATTCCATCACCTACTCCTCAGTCTGCGGCGGAGACTAGGCAATATCCTATTCCAACTTTTCAGCCACACTGACACCAATAAACTGATTCACCGGTCAAGAGTCACTCCGTGAGAGCAGCCGCGCCCTCTAGTCCCCGGTCCTGCAGTCCGCGGCATCTGCGACAGCTGGCCGACCGGCGGCGCCACCCACCTGTTATCCAGCGAGCCCGGCGTGTCGATGACGCCGGGCAGGTTCGTCAGAAACGACGACAGCGAGTCCTTCATCTTCTTGCCCGTGAACTTGTTGTACGAGTGCTCCAGGTTATGGTGGTTCATCAGGTTGGTCGCTCCCGTCTCGCGGTTCTCATTCTCCACTGAAATGAAATATCCAAACATATTTTATTTAGGCATTAATGTGGGTATCAATTCATATGCGCGTTCTGCATGAAATGAGCAGATACAGTTTGCCATTCATAGGATTAGATGACCTAATTTGTTCACATATACAGAATTAATGAACGTTATATAAAAGCACACACAAAATATGTACCCATCCAGGACATAGCCGAGGTGACGCTACATACCGACTGGCTCCTTCATCAGGTAGAAGGGTCCCGTGTGCACGATGGAGGCGCCCGTCTTGCCCAGCTGGATGGTGGTGCGCAGCGTGCCGGTCGAGTCCTGGCGCGGCACGGCCGGCGAGCGCACGCTGCGCGGCGAGCCCAGCGAGCCGGGCGACGGCGCCGAGTCGACGCGCCGGAACGGCTCGCCGGCCATCATCGACTCGAAGTCGGGCGCCAGCGCCGGCGAGCCGAACTCGAGGCCCGACTCGTCGCCGCCGTCTGCGCCGCGCAGGCCCTGGTTCAGGTCGTAGAACGCCAGCGTGCCGGCCGAGGGGGTGGCGGGCGGGCGCTCAGATGGCCAGACGCCCCCGGCGCTCCACCGATCGGCGCGCCGCCGCCAGTTGACGACGTCCGGACACACTGTTTGATGGCACCACTGGTCGGCAGGTGGTCTGCCCGCTGGCTACTGCTGTGGCTGGTAGAGCTGTGTCATCAGATACTGCAGAGGAGGAAAGAGCATATTTAGATTCAAACATCCAAAATAGGCAAAATTAGCAATGACTGGGCGCAGACATATACAATATTGCGTGGATATATTGCATTGAGATGTTTAGAACAACTTGGGCCAGTAGTGCAAAGAACCACTAATAAATGGAACCATTTTTGCAATTTTTAATGACAATGCATTTACATTATGTACAAACTATAAATGCATGAGAATGGTGTACCATCATGTAATAATGGCCACTCAGTCCTCACATCTTGGTTGTTGACAATCAGCTCATTGATACCCCAGTCACATAAGCAACACACACACGATTTGATTAAATAACTGATTTAAAAATGAATGAATAGTACCTACCTAGACAACTAACAAGGCCAGTAACACACCTTTCAGACCACTCAAGGCGACAACCAAGTAAGCACTGACCAATTATGAAAACATCACCTTAAAGTTAGCTTTACTTATCACTGTTTGAATTTCTAGGTATTCAATGATCATATTGGCCATCTCATGCCTCAGCAGTCAGCACTCAGCAGGCTCAGTCATGCCATATTCACCTACTTGTGCACTTACAGTGATACAACAGGTTTAAAAATGTGATTATAACCAGTCCTCCAAGTTGGTGTGTGTAGCAAACTTGAGTATAATCGGCCCAGCCATTAGCCCATGGCCATTGGCATTAGATAGAGTGCCGTAAGATGAGCAGGTTGACTGTTGGTGCTGTAAGGGCAGATGAACCTGAAGCCAGAACCTGAGCTATGTCCGGTTGCTGTTTTTTATCAGCATGCTGTCGGTTTTCACCATATAGAAAAGTTATTGCTGGTGCTTCTTGGCCTCTCATTGGTCAAATGAATTGACCATGTGAATGAGACCAATGAGAAGCCAAGATATTGCAGCATGCTCGCAGCCTGCTGAAAAACTGTGACCGTAAAATGCCCAGGTGATGCAGTCAGGATCTCTGTTCGCAGTTTTTTTAGCGGTAGGCTGAAAGTATGCTGCTATTTCTTGGCACCTAATCGGTCTAATTTGCGTGGTCTATGTATTACACCAATGAGAGGCCAAGAATAGCCAGTAATAGCTTCCTTATATGGGTAAAAACGACAGGATGCTGATAAAAAACAGTGACCGAATAGCTGGGTAGGGTTTAAAAAGCAAATTGGCAAATAGGTGTCTTTTTCCCTGGGATATGAAAATAACAACCAGTATAACGCCTTTTGCGGCGACTAACGGAGCGAGCGAGAGGGTGGGCCTTGCACGTGCGAAATTGCGAGGGGGTACCTCCAACTGACTTGTGCACGGCACCTTACTAATCGGTCTCTAGCGATGTGCCAAATTTGAGCACAATCGGCCCAGCCGTTCTCGAGATCTAGAAGCGGCACCCTGCACGTGCGCACGTGCAAAATGGGTCCCAACTGACTTGTGCACGGCACCCTACTAACTGCTCCGTAACCGTGTACCAAATTTGAGCGCAATCGGTCCAGCCGTTCTCGAGATCTGGAAACGACCCCTGCACGTGCGCACGTGCAGCAGCACCCCAACTCTGGCACATGGATATGCATTGCCTAGTGGGTGCCTACCTACATGCCAACTCTCAGCGCAATCGGCCCAGTAGTTACCGAGATATTGCAACAATTACAAAAGTGACACCTCTTCGTTTTGCACGTGGCACGTGCATAAGGGGTCACCCACATGCATCGGGAATAGTGCAATACTTGGTAGAAGGAATGAAGCTACCCTACAAAAATTACCGCATGTAAATCGGTCAAGTGGTTGCTGAGATATAAGCCTCGCAAAAGCGTGACCACGGCCGGCCGGCCGGCCGGCCGGCCGGCCGGCCGGCCGGCCGCTCATACTCAGAAATTTCCGTTAATCTAAGGAAAGACTACGCTCGCTTCGCTCGCTCCGTAACAACAAAACAATTTGTTCGAATACACAAAAAATACAGTGGATTCATTGTCATATTCCTTGACCATTTTTTCTAAAAATGAGGGAATAGGTATTATATATCGATACAGGTCGAGGTCATGACACATACAGGTCATGACACATTGACATGCGTCAAAAGCCACAGTAACTCTTACCTTTTTCACCGATGCAATATAACTTAGGATGCTCGTAATAAAATTCAATTTTAAATAAACGGAAAACAGGGATAATAGATATGCTAATAACTATGCTCGGTGACGGTATACGTCGTATGCGTATGCGTATTGACGGTATGCATGGCGCATGCATGCGGCAATTGGACCGCACTAATGTTTGTCCCAATCAAGGATTTGAATAAAGAAGGTGAAAAAAGATAGGCAACCACTCCTCATCCATATGACGTAATGAGATCCGCTCATCTACATCTGCTTTTCGCAGGATCACTTTACTCATAGACTTTACTAATAATTTTTAGGATTTCAAACTTTCATGCGACATATTTACTTTGACAAGGGAAAACCCCACAATATTTACCCGGATCATGCTTGAATTGTCGTAAGTTTTCAAATCGATCTTTTGCCCGTCACCCCCCTTCGGGCGAACTGGTTGAGTCAGTGGACTCCTCCCCAAGGCCCTATATACCAGGTAGGGTCGTCCGGCGATTCTACCTTTTCGTGACGTCAGCTCGTGACGTCATTTGGAGTCAAGTCTCGAAGCCCCGTTCAATCCCCATGTAAATGAGCGATTTTCGAAGCACTGTAGAATGAAGTCTGCACAAGATATATCAAACCTAAGTATCTTATCTGAAAGAGCAGACAATTTTCTGCAAGTTATCTATTACGTGTTTTTCGCTAAATCTTTTGCTTTTTTCACAAAAGCGTAAAATGTCTCCCCATGTCTCCGCAGCCTCCCTGCCGCCGGCCGCCGCGCGGTCGCGGTAGTGTAGTGATTAGCGTGCCCGCGCAGTATTCCATAGGTCCCGAGTTCGAATCTATGCGGTGCGGAACTTTAATTGCAATTCCAAGCTGAATATACGCACATCCATAATAAATTATTATTCGTATAGCTAAACTGTCACCAAGCTATCCATATAAATTGACTTCACCCAAAATATCGGCAAGATTCTATTAAAATATAAATTCAAATATGGCGGCTTGGACTGCCGCGTGCGTTAGGCTCCGCCCATAGCTCCGCCCACATGCGTGACGTCATTCGTGTTAGTGGACACGCAGAGAGATAGGGGACGACATGGGCCTGCTCCTCCCCAGTCTCCACCCCTCCCACACAAAACGCACGGCTAAATCCAGGGATCCTTCCAGAGACAGACAGGAACCACAGATGTCAGACACGTGCATAAACCCATGACTCAGCGCCACCTAAAGACACATTCCGAGCACGAGAATGCAAAAGCTCAGCATATGCCGGACAATGGCCACTGGAAAGTCGCCAGCATCTCACAACAGTTAACTGCCGACAGAAACGCCAAGTAAGCTGAGAGCAATTACGTCTACGAATTGACTGTAGGGCGTCGATGTTAAGAAAATGGAGGGCACAACGATCGGCCGTATAGTTGAGCGATCGCCCCAGCCGGTTCAACGGATGGTCGGCAGGTCACCTTGACGGCGCCCGTCGCTTCGAACAATACCGCAGATAAACAGATGAGCACATATTATATTACAAATATTAACAATCAAAATCGGCCGGATCTGACAACCCGAGAGCGACCCCAGCCATAATGGGCACAGTCCGATTCCCAATGTCAAAAAGTCAGCACGGGTTGAATGAATCATTTGTTTCAACCTAAAATTCATTCAACCCGTGCTGTCGAATGATACGCGTGATAAAAAAGAACACATCGCAGCAAACCTGTTATTAAACTACAACACAGCCGCCATACAATTGACATGCTACCATTATTGTACTGAGTAGGAGACCGTCTGAGATGAGCTCGATCTGGTGCAGGTTGGGCGACTGGCTCGGGCCCATCACCTTATGCGGCGCTGGCCTAGCTACCCGTCGGACAACTAAGACCGTCAGACAGCGTCAGTCGGCTGTCGGACAGCGTCAGTCGGCTGTCGGACAGCGTCAGTCGGCTGTCGGACATCACAAGCTCGCTGTCAGACATGAGACAGGGGCCAGGGCTGGGCGGCGTCAAGACAGCGTCAGTCGACACGTCTAGTTTATGCAGCTCGACACGCGTGTCCATGGATAGTTTGGCGTCCTCCGTGTTCTCCGGCAAGGACATAGTGTCCTCATCACTGTCCACATCAGCGGAGTCTGGCTCCGACTTCACCCTGGCCACCGGATTGGCCTGCGGTCCAGCCCACTCCTCCGTCTCTGGCGTCGCCAGTTTCTGCTTCTTGGCCTCGGAGGCCCCCGGGGGCGGTCGGCCGGAGGTGTGACACCTCCGGCGGGGGCCGGGCCGTCGCCGGGGCTCCACCGAGCGCGGCACCTTGAGGCTCCGGTGCAGAGCCAGGTGGCGCTGCAGAGTGTCTGAGCCGCCGGCCAGCTGGAGCCGGCACACGGGGCAGGCGCGCAGCGCGGGCGGCGGCTGCGCGCGGTGCTCCGTGCACACGTGCCGCTCGGCCTCCGACCAGCTGTCCGTGCTGAACTCGGGGCACAGCGCGCAGCCCAGCAGGCGACACCGGTCCGGGTGCTTCGCAATCACGTGCTGACGGCAAGTGATGAAGAAACCGCGAAACTCGCACAGCTGACATCGAGACATAGGGCCCATCGAGCCACAATCGTGCAGGTTCAGATGCCCCGCCACTTCATCGGCATTGAGCAGTTCGAGCTCGCACGGCACGCACGTGTAAATGTCACGGACCGTAGACGAGCGACACTTGTCCGTATGCAAGATGCCGGTATCGGAGACGACGCTATCGCGTTCACAGTCATGACAGCGCAGCACTGCCGGCACCGAGAGCGGCTGCAGCTCGTGGACTTTCCATGCGTGGCGCTCACTCTGCGCCAACATGGCCGACACCTTGGGACACAGGCCGCACACCACCAGCGACTCGGGCTTGCACACGGCCGTGTCCGGGAACAGCAGGTTGGTCTCCGCGTGCAGACTCGCCATGTGCTCGTGCAGCCTCAGCCAGCTGGTGAAGCCGCTGGCGCTGCACAGGTAGCAGCGCACCAGACGCACACACCGCTTCCGGTCCAGCCACTGCGAAGCGTCTGCGGTGTGCGAGGCCGAGGGGGAGGGCGAACGACCGGACTGGCGGACCGGAATGATCGAGAAGTCACTGCCGCCGTCGGGCGCCACCTGGTGCGGGCCACTGCCGCCGCTGTCCCCATCCGATCGATCCTGCGAACACAGCAGACAGCACCGGTCAGACGGTACGCGACGAAACGCCAGGCACTGGGCCCAGTTCATAGAGAGTCCCTTTGCTGCTAAGGGATACTTATTGGAAAGGGGGACCCGACAGAATGATGGGTTCATATAGCCACCCTTACATACCGGCGCCAATGTTACCAAAAGTGTCCCTTTGAAAAGTGGCACTTTGGAAAAGTGGCACTTGCCAACTGGTTTTTCTATATGAACTGAGCCTTGCAGCCAGAGAGACAGCCGCCGCAGCTGCAGCACTCCACAGCCCAGAGCGGGCAGAGGAACACAATCGCAGAGGGCAGCGCCGTACCTTTACATCTAGTCTTCCCGGCCTGGCAAGCAGCACCACACAGTTACGCTTTACGGGCTAGTCTTTTCTGGCCAGCGGGGCAGTACTGAATCTGGGCGGGAAGCGCGGCAGCACCCTATCTGTGCGCGGTAGCCCTCGCTCTACCAGGCAGTCAGGCACAGCACCGTACCTTTACGGGCCGTCCCTCGTCAGCCAGCGGGGTAATGGAGAGGCCGGCCGGCAGACTGAACCCTTTCACGTCTTCCTGCGCCGCCGGCTGCGGGCTGACGCGCCCGTTCCGCTCCTCTCCCGGCCGGCCGGGGCCCGACGGCGTCGCTGGCGGCGACTCTGGCGATTCTTGTCCCAGCAACGGTATGTTTAGTTTCCTGTATCAGGACCGGCAGAAACCACAGCATTACACATACGCAGCGCACACACGTGAGACGGTACGACCGCAGCACTGCACTGATCAAGTGGCCAGCAAATCGGCAGTTAGTAAACTTGAAAATCAGCTGCTGCAGTTCTAACTCCCAAACTGTTTGTGATAAATTTGTACGTCATGATACAATATGCGAATGACTTGATACGCATGTACATTGTCACTGTACAATAACGACTCTTTAACACACGCAGTGGAAGGGATGGGGAGGGGGCGGATTTCGCCCCACCCCTCCTTTTTTTGTAAATATTTCACGCCGTAATCATTCTATTAACGTTAAATTTTTAGTATCTGACTAAAATTGAATTGCGCATCTTGCCGTGAAAGCAATTAGTATATCGGTCTTTCTTAGTAGGTAACAGGGGTGTAAAGTCAAAAATTTCGCTGGAGCGGCGGCCGGCGCCGGCCGATTCTCGCTGCCGGCACCGGACGGTTCCGTCTTTGCGTTGCACTGCTTACCGCTGCTAATGATCGATTCGCATCAAGATCTCTGTGAAGATTTAGAAATGTACAGGCAATCTTATGGTGAAATAAATACGGGAATCAGCCGGTAACATTTTGAGTTACGAGTGTGTAAGCATAACATTGTGACTGCAACGTTTCCAGCGTCGGCTGTTCCCCACCTCAACCGGAAGACATCTTACTCTTAGCAGAGTTCTATTGCCATTATTACGGCTGAATTAACTAGGCGGTAACTTTTGAGGTATTGGCGTGTAAACACAAAATAGACCCTCACCTGGCAAATTCAGCCCTGTTTGACCTCATTTGACCTTGAAGATATTGAGCAAGTATCATGAAATTAGTTTCCCATCGTCCCCACCCACTCTCCAAATTTCGTCTTTTTGGCTTCCATAAGAGGCTGAGATCTTCGGGGGGGAGAGAGGGGAGGGCAACATTCACTCCCCCCCTCCACTGGGCGTAGTTCTCGGAACTCTTCAACTGCGCGTGTTAACAGTTTGTAGCTTTAAAGATAGGATTAACGAATCGACAAATGAACATTGAACAAGTAATAATGGACAAATTAGGTACAACAGCTGGACGTGTATGCATGATTGCGGGCCGAGGATCTAGCTAGCAGCGCACCTCCCAGACCCCCGGACGCTGCTGTGGCCGCCTCCACTCACTCAGTGAAGACAAAGTGGCTGATGAGGCCGGACAGCGTCTCGCGCGCACTGCTGGAGCGCATCGCCAAGTCGGCCGCCTTCCAGCCGGCCAGCAGCGGCCCGGCCAGCATGGTCTCGAGCGCGGCGGCGAGCTGTCGGTCGGCCGACAGGCCGCCCGGCTGCCTCGGCTCCC